ACTTCATCAAGGGGACACATGGCTCTCTACGTGTTGTTTGTTTCAGAAGAGCTCAGAGTCCCTCAGGCATCTAAGCAGCGTATGATAAATTGGCAGGACAAACCAGCATGTATATTTTCTGAGCTGGAGAGTAAATAACTCCTTGAAAACCATAATAATGGCTTGGAAAGGGCAGTATGTAAATTACTACTGTCCTGGGGCTGCAGTAACTTAACCTCGTTTTCTAAAACATTGCCTAACATCTTGAAACACATGCATTTGCAAGGCTCATGAATTTCTGCACTATCATCTCCCTGTTCTGCAAGGACCTGATGTCCCTTTTATGAGCTTTTCTTGGCGCACACAGAGGAGCTGACCATTTCTATATAGGACACAAGCTGCAAATCTCTTAAGGCCAGTTTTCCCTGTTCCATTTCAATTTACAGCTTAAGCCCATAGGCAGGGAGAGACAGCCTAGTCCAGTGGGCAGTGCAATGGGTTAATTAAAATCTGTTTTGAAAGTAGTACAATTCAGGGTCCACGCAGGGATCTGAATCAATTTATTGGTTGGCTCTCAGCAGTTTACCTTAGGCTAGTAGCAATATACCAATGCAAACTAAGTAGATATAAGTCAGGCTTTAAATTTAACTGCCTACACAGTGCATTGCACCATCTTAGCTAACCTGGTTAAGAAACTTCTAACTGAAACTATGCCATCCACATCTACAGAGAGGTGGTGAGTCATCTTAGTCTGAAGTCAATCAAAAAGCAGGGTAGATACGCATCTTTATAGGATAACTAAGATACATATATAAAGCACAACGTTTTTTGAACCCAAGTTCACAATACAGTGACTTTGGGTGCACAAAAGCTTGTGCTTTATATATAAAATCATACTTAGTTGATCTTCATCTATAAACCAATATTGTGTTTTTGTGCAGTGCCCTGAACTCTGGGGATGGTGGAAAATATTGGGATACAACTTAAGAATGTATTCCAAGGGTCCTCCTGTTCATTAATTTGGATGGACTTGACATTGAGTAACAGTGAATTTTAAAATTCTCTTAGAAACAGTAAAAATATTGAAGAACCTACTCCTCTTACAGTGTCTTGGCATGGGACTTCCCTGGAGGTCAGTGATCAGATTCCTGAAAGAATCTATGGAAAGTGCTATGGACAGAGAGCACATCTCAAATCAAATGCCAGCATATGCCATGTATTACTAGGCATAATGTAGTATGCTCAAGTGTACAACATTTTAAAGAGAGAATTTTCACCGAGAGCACCATGGCTATTCATTTCAAATATCTCTTAGCAGCCACTAGAGTGCCGATTGATTTCAGACTGCTGGGTGATGATTTACATGAGAAGATACTCAACAAACCTTTTCTACATAAGCAGTTAAAAGGAAAAGCTGCTGCCTTGGCTCAGTTAATTTTCTCTCTGGAAACTACATTGAATAAATTAATACAGCTAGGATTAGAAGGGGGAAATGTATACAGAATAATATCTGCATAATCTGTTTCTCTGGTTGTGACCTGCAAGAAACCAGGCTTATTCTAAATTCTAATCCTGTTAGGCCAGGCAAGAAGGTTCTGTAGCTAAAAGGAAAGGCCATGGGTTGTGGGGACAGGGGATGGTAACAGGGATGGAAGAAACCCTTTGAAGCAATTCCTTTCCAAATAAAATTGGGTGGAAATGTTACCCATTGCTTTACTCATCACTTCACTGCTGTAGTCAAAGCTTATACAAAGCTTATTATGGCTACTCTTGGCTTCCTCCCAAAGGCAATTGCAATTTCACCAATGTAAGCTAATTCTTGCCTGCTTTACCTACCTAACTTTTCCTGCTATAGACAGAATATAGCGTATGTATAGGGGACACAGCTGTGGACTGTAGAAATGGAAGCTTTTGTATGCTGGCCCATATGTGGTACAGTTTAAACTGGAGGAATCACCTACAGTGATCCAGTAATTCAGCAAAATGGATCAAGAGCATACCCAGCAATGCCACACATGCCTTGTGTCTGCAACCTGAATTCAGCTGCCAGAAACTAGGAGGAATGGTGAGAGGAATTAGACATAGGCAATGTTTAGGGGAGGCTCTGGGGGGGCATGTGCCCCCCCTAAAATTGGCCCTTGCTGGCTGGGGAGTACTGGCTGGTGCTCCCCCGAGAAGCGCCAGTGGCACTTCTGGTTTGCTGCCCCCCGCTCCCCCTTCCCCAGTCAGTGACTGGCCACAAGCGCTGGCGGCACTTGTGGATTGCTGCCACTTCTGGTTGCTGGGGGAACCCCCCCATTGGCAATCAGCAGCTGGTGACCCCCCAGAGCCAGGAGGCACCAGTTGCCCATGGAATCAGATGATGTCTTCTGCTGCAAGGTGTCATGGCTTGTATCAGTTACAAACAACACTTCTTTGTCATTAAAAGCTTCCTTTTTTTTAGAGAGAATTCAGCATCTGATTCAGCCTAACTTAGAAGGCAGCTTACAAACAGCCTTGCTCTGTTTTGAACAGATGGCTAGTTCAGATGTCTTTGTTGCTGCACTGCCCTACCTGCCCAGCCAGTATACGTAGTGCAGTCCCTGGGGTCGGCAGATTTCAGGCCTCTCTCCATCTGCTGGAGCAGCTCCCTGATCTTGTTGTTCAGACGCTGAGTGAACTCAGGAGTCAGCTGTGGATAGCAAAGAAATAACATAAATAAGTAAATATCAGCAAACAGATTGGGTGAGGACTCATTCAATGATTGAATGTGCCTGGAGGAATACAGGGTTTACACTGGGAGGCCTGGGCTTCTCCGAGATCAAGCACAGCCAGAAATGCTGTTTTCCATGCTCAGCTAGCTGCAGCTGTATCTTGGAAGGGCTAACTGGAATATAAACCTCTTATTTCAGGAAGGCCTTCCTGCCACAGCCCTAGTGTGCCACCTGGGTTTAGTGCCTGTAACCATCTTGCCCAGTGGCTAAGTTCAGAGGCCAACACTCCAGAAAGGACCACCACTGAGCTCCAGCCTGCTTGCATGACTCCACAGTTCTGGTTGACTAGTCAGATTTACTGTCTCTTAAAGGGATGAAGCTGCAAGGGAGAGTGAGGCGTTTTAATTTACTGTCTCTGTTTGTGAGGTGCTATACCCGTGATCGAAAGCCAAGTGCATGAAGATCTTAATGGCTGGCATTGTAAGTGGCAGTGAAGTGTGATAGGCTCGATCCTCCTCTCATTCAGACAGTGCAGTTCCACTGGCATCAGTGGAGTTACTTCCAATATCCACTAGTGTAAGATACGATCCTAAGGATTCAGGCCCTACCAAATTTAAGAAAAAAGCAACATGGTTATGAAGAGGCTTTGGGCACACTTGTATAATGCTGCTGAACACATTCTTGTTTCTCCCTCTTTCTGCTTATTGATTCATTTGAATCATTTTGCCAGATTTTTCGTATAAAGTGTGTTTATGCTACTAAATCTGTGATGCAAAGGAGGATATAAACTGTTCTCTGAGCCAGAGTTTTCAAAAGGCCTAAGTACTGGGCTAGGACAGTCCCCAAACCCCCATCTCTGGCAATGGTCTTGAGCAAATGCTGCCTCTTGTGCCTTAGTTTCTCCCATCTGTATAATGAGGCTAATGCAATTGCTGACTGTTGTAAAGCACTTGGGGATTCATGACTGAAAAATGCTATATAAGAGCAAAGCGTTACTATGTATGGGAGTTAGGGACCTGGTTCTCGCTGAATTGAATAAAAGTTCTGGTCAAAGAGAGGAGGCCAAGCTTATTAGGTAATTCTGGTCAAATCCTTGTGATCCAAGAAGCCTCTGCAACACCCAAAACCCAGTACCCATTAATGAAATGCTTCTTGCCACCATCTTATGTAGCAGGGATCCTCCCCTTTTCAACCTTTCATACCCAGCCTCCTTGTATTTTAATATCGTTAAAAAACATGCTAAGTAATGTTAAAAAAACCCCCTAGGTAATGATTTTTTTAAAACCTAATATTCATCAAGGGACATGATTTTCCAAGCAGCTGCATTTTCTTACATGAACTGTAACATTTTATTTATTCCCCTACAGGCAAATTTTAATTGCTTTGTCCTAGGGATAAAAAAGTTAATGAAACCAAGCAGCAGGCTGGAAAAAAATAAATTAATTTGTAGATTCTGGTTACATACTCACAACTATGACTACAGTCCATTCAGAGCAACAGCAGGTTCACTGTCTCTTGAACTACTATAGTTGACTGAATGTGCCTGTAATATAAGATTTCTCAGGGCAAGGAAATGGCTTCATATCATAACACTAAAATATCTACCATACTGTACAGATGCATGCCCTCTGTTTAATTTGAACAGAATCCATTAATGAGTAAAGGATCTTAAGCAAAGGCATAAGGAAGGGGGCAGCAACATACAACATGCAGGCCAGAGACACTGGATCTAGCCAATGGAGCCAGGCTTTCCTTTTGCCTGTACCCGTGCTGGTCCTGCACAGCCAGGGGCTGCCTGAAGCTGTGCCCACACTGTCACCGCTTCTCCCAGCCGGTGAGAAACTGAGCTGGGGCTGGGCAGTTTCCAGCTGCACCTATGCTGCTGTTGCTTCTCACTCTCCCATCTTGGTGGCAGTACAGGTGCAGCTTCCAGCCAGCGGGAACCTGAGCTGGGGCTAGCCAGCTTCTAGCTGTGTCCACTCTGCCACCAGAAGAGGTTAAGAGGGGGCACAGGGAGAAGTGGCAGCAGTGTTGACACACCAGCTGCTCAGCCTTGGTCCAACTCTGCACCAGATGAAAACTATGCCTGGACTGCAGCCTGGAAGTGGGGGATGGGGAGAAGCAGAGATGGCATGGGCACATATCCCAGCTCTCCAGCTCCTGTGCAGCTTCTCTCTAGCTGGAAGCTGCATTCATGTCCGAACTGGGGAGCTGGCAAAAGGGGCGGTGGTGCCACCACAGCTCCCAGCTTTCTGGCTCCAGCATGGGTGTGGGCAAACCGCCTTTATTAATGACGTGTTGCCGATGCCATCTGGCCTGCATAGCACTGGAGCTAGGTTGTTCCAGCTTGCGGCATACGAAGGTTGCCAGTCCCTAGCATAGGGTTTTGTTTCCACATTCAAGGTGGAAAATGTAGTTAGGAGTTCACATGCAACAGAATGACTCATGTGAGGTCTGGTTGTGGGTACATGTACAGACCCCTTCCATATGCCTCATTATAGTTTCATAGTTTCTAGGGTCGGAAGGGACCTGAGTAGATCATCTAGTCCGACCCCCTGCCATGGCAGCAAAGAGTACTGGGGTCAGACAACCCCAGCAAGGTGTACATCTAGCATTGGGAGAGTACAATGAGGGCAGCAAGGTTTCAGAAAGCAAATGCCTTTTGGGGTTTTTTGGGGGGGATGCATGTAGTTAGAGTTGACTGTGTGACCTAGAAGAGTGTATTATTCAATGGCATGCCATAAGCAGTCACGCACTACTAAACTGAAGAGGCTGGAAAAAGAAATCTGCAGTTTAGTAGATCCCACTAGCATATATTATTTAATATATATACATACACACACACACCATGAGCTCTTTTACATATGTATATTTTGTGTAATCTGCCATGGCAGTAACTTAGAGGCTGCAATACATTTAGTTGTTGTTTAGGTTAATACATTAAAGAGGGCACATCTCTTGGGTCCTGTTCCCTGAGCTTAAAGATTCTGAACAAGTTCTGCTTGTTTGATTCCATTTTCCAGAGCCTGTCATGAAAAGTATTTTGTGCAATAAATTGTGATTATTGTTTTTGCTCCAGGGAATGTGGTTAAGACACCTAAGATCTGCTCTGTTTAATGTATGGCCAAAGACTCTTTTATTTGCTTCTAAAAGAAAAAGCAGAGAAAAGAATGCAGTGACTCAGAACTGACTCAGTGGGATGAGACTCTAAAAGCAGATCTCAATGAAAGAGTGCAAGATAACAACCTCAGGTGATAACTGAATCAAAATGAGGTAAAACACCACCATCCAATGACTGTCCTCAAAAAAAAAGGTCAGAGCTTTCAAGGTGCTCCCTACATCTGACAAGACAGTGGATGTGTTACACCTTCTGGGACAATTCCTATGGTGGTCCAGGTCTTGCCTTCTTAAGCTGAGAATCTGCAAATCTCTTCTTATTTTTCAAAGCAAAGCAGAAACTACCAGGGCTCAGATCGTCTCCAATTTGTACCTACTACATGCTAGGGCATGTTTCCCTGGCTCTGAGATGCACTCCTCAGAAATGCTAGTCTGAACAGGTGGGCATGAAGGTGCCAAAATGAATAGTACTATTCTGGTCTTTGGATGCATCATATCAGCAAAATACTTAGCACTTTCCCAGGATGCCTGGCTTTCAAAGAGCTCAAAGAGCTTTACAAAGCTCCTTATGTTTTGCAGCAACCCTGCATAATGCAGCTTTATTTTAATGATAGACACACCAAAGCTGAGAGGTTAAGTGATGTGCCCAAGGCCACAGAGTTGCTGATTGAGTCTGGAGCTCCCAAGCATCTTCTCAGACTACCCCTCTCGCCAAAGGACTGTGGATCCTTTCATTTCCCCTTTCCAGAGATTATAATAAAATGCACCTTAGCTCCAACCTATATACAAGCATCTTCTGAAAGATGTAGGCACAGAAGCTATGTGGTTTTTTGGGTTTTTTAAAATCAAGACCTCCTGAACATACATAAAGTTAGTTTTGGAGAGAAGGTCAGCATTATTCCAATTTGTACATATCTGGAGCAGCTGCCTCTCCTGTTAATACTCCTTCAGCAAGCGGCAGTGGAAAAACAAAAGCTTTGCTTCTTATTTATTCAGTCTCAGACTCAAATGAAGTCATAATCCTGTTTGCAATGTCATCTATAGCTGCTTTGCAAATTGGTTCTCTCTTCATATACATTAACTTCTTCAAACTGTTTATACATCCTTTTAAAGAAAAATCCCCCAAGAGTCTGTCTGCAACATGTGCTATTTACCACGTACCTCTGCTGGCACGGTACATGCTACATGGACTGGATTTTTCTTCTTCATTCAAACCTCTGATTAATGTTGGGATGTCCCCTTTACCTTCTGTCCCTGTAAAACATCAGCGTTTACCCTGTCTTATGCCTTTGTGAATCTAAACCAGAAGCCATTGCCATTTTTAGTTGCTATAAGGGATCATAAAAGGTAAAAAACAAACAAACCCCAAAACTGTCCTGTAGAAAAACAGACAAGACAGAAGTGTACAGACAAGGCAGCAACCCCGCTTTGCCTTCTCAAACCCAGGAGAGTCCCAAGGAAGTGGAGCTATGACCTTGGACAGCTATCATACAATGGACAGCATGGGCATGGACACTTTGAATTATGTCAGCAGTGTGCAAAGTTGTGTGGAAAGGCAGCTCGCTGGGAATCAGTGCCACCCCATGTCAACAGAAGGAAAGAAAAATTAAGCTCCAACAGACTCTAGCTGCTTCTTTAGAAAGAAACACTACAGCAATCTCAAATTAAATCTCTTATGGCCCCCAACTCACCCGCCCTGAAGAGTCAAAGTATCCCGTAGCCAGAGACTTGTCGTAGTCTGCAAAGGGATTCGGTAAGGCCCTTTGGGCCATTATGGCAACAGCAATGCTGCAAGAAAGTGCAAAGAAGAAAGCCTTGTGAGCCAGCTACTTGGCAGCTGCTGCTGTTACAGCAACACCCCCTCAGATCCCAGGAACTGCAGAGCACGCAGGCCAGATGGTGCAGCAGCATATTGCACCCACATCTGCCAGGCAGGACAAGACCCCAGGGCTCTAGCAAAGCACTTGCATCCGGCACAAGGAGCTCCCAGCCCCCCCTGCTAAAATGCAACCCCCCAGCCCCCTCCAACATCCCAGGGAATCGTGCAAATCAAACATTTCCCCCCTCACCCTGCAGCTGAGATAACAACAAGCAGAGAGCTGAGTTTTCCACCTCCTACTTCCTGCTGCTGCAGACCAATGAGAGCCGTGCAGGGCCTCAAGCCCCAGCCACACACCCCTCCAGTTTCTTAAAGAGACCGTCTGCGAATGCTGCTTTGCAGGGCATTTTCATGCCCACCCTAACCTTGGCGCAGTGATCCAAGTCTTGAGCTCATCCAAGAAGCCCAAGGCACTGGCTCTCGTGTACTTCTCCTAGGACATTTTGTTTTGCAGAGTGGATTTTATTTTTAAAGATAGGGCAAGAATTATTCATCTCAAATTACTGAGAGCACAAAACAATATATTGATCATTTAGGAAATGGCCAGCTTAACCTTCAGGTTATGGGCAGAAGACTCTTTAATGTTATTTATGAGAATACTGGACTGTTCATTTTAAAGGGTTTTAAAGTTTCTTTCTAATTATTATTATAATTATAATATTATTATCATTAAGGTGCAAATTACACTCCAGCTCTTGGGGGGGCGGGGTCTGTGGCAGTGGCAGCCAAAAGGAGCTGCTGCCACCGTTACTGCTGCTGCTGCCTGAGCGGCTTAGAAAGGCATGGGGTGGGCTGAGGGCTCTTGTCTCTTATGAGGGACTCTCATTTCTTATGGAGGGCTCAGTCCCCCCCACTGAATCCGCCTGGTATTTCAGTCCCTGATTATCATCATCAACATGAATTACACTACCCCTGAGACCCTTATCACTCTGTGCTGTGGGGGTATTGTGCTAGGCACTGTACATACAGACATAAAACCTGCCCTGAAGCGCATACAGTCCCAAAGAACAAAGGTGGGCAAGGGAAACTGAGGCACTGGGAAGTGAGATGGTTTTCCCAAGGTCATACAACAGGCTGGTGGCAAAACCAGGAACAGGAGAAAATATAGGCAGCTCCACTGAATCTGACAATAACTTATTTGGTGGATGTTCGGGCCTCATCTATTTGCTGCTTTCTGCTCTGGCACACCTGGCTACTCTGACTGTCTAATGATGCATCTTGTGCTAAGGGAAACAGATTTTGCACAAAGCATGAGTGCACCTTGTCAGGTGTTGTCAGATGGGGGTTTGGCAAATGGAAAAGTAAGAAGGAGGCAGCTTAGTACAGAGTCTGCAGGAGCTTCTTGACACTTTGAAGTAGTGATTTGGGGTGCTTGATGCTAGCCTTTGTGCAAAAGGAATAGCAGATGAAAGAGGAGGAGGAGCTTGTCATTGGGGAAGTACCATCTTG